AAAAAAAAAAAAAAAGAGAGGTAACCGATGAATGTAACAGTTTAACATTTATTGAAGAATGGGTTTGTTGAAGAGAAGGAGATGAAAAGGAGAAGAAAGAAGATACACAGGACAGGCCACTGCAAGAACAAGAGGGCAGTGGACAAGAAATCAGTGGCTGCCCTTTTATATCTTGATGTTAGATCTGGGCAGTCCCATTCAGAGCTCCTAAGCTGTTCTGTGCAGTGGTTTGACAGCTGTTCGTGATGGACAGGTCACTTCCGGATGTCCAGCCATGATTAGCTGTGCTTTGACAGCTCTCTATTGTTGACAGATCACACCTGGTTGCACTTCGGTTTGCTATGCCCTAATCTCTTGCCTCACTCGTACTTCAGCCTGGCAAGGTACAGTACTGGGACAGCCTGTGGCATCATGCCTACCATTTTCTTTTAAAGGGGCCTACATATTACTTGAATTTGACAATCACTGTTACTTGTATATTTTATGCCATTTGCTCTTTGTTTTTGGAAGAAGGTTTACAGTTGTAGAATTTGCTCACCAAAAGATTTGAAGTTTATATTTTATTTGTTTAAGTCACACTTTAAATAATTTTGTTAGTAATTCAAAAAAAACCATCTTAGGATAAAGGAGTTATATCCATATGTAATTTCTCTCTACAATACTTAACATGTATCTTTCACAACTTTATTTTCACTAATTACTTTTCATTTCACAGATAATATGTATTTCTCAGGCTTTGGACTATGTTTAGGTCTTCTATTCATCTCAGTCAATGCAAAATTTATGAATGATGGCGTTGAGATGGAAGACTTTGATGAAAATTCAGATGAGATCGATGTTGTTGAAGCTGAAAGTTCTTCAGAGGTAAGGTTATTGAGACATGAGTTATAAATTATTTCTTTACAAGATTTATACCAGCCACTGATCTCTGAAGATTAATTTCAGTTGTAATAGTCTTCATTTTCCAAGTAGATAGGATATTGCCTTTTCCTGCCTGTCTTGTTGCTCTGTTGTTGTTTTTTTAAGCTTGCCTACATACAAAGAAATTTGTGTGTGGCACCTAGTAATTTTAAAAAAATATGTGGAAGGGCTTTACTGTCAATATAGAAGTGCACCATTGGTTGAAAAGGACTAAGTACTTTTTTTTTTTTTAATT